ATCATTGGATAAGAACATTTTTAGATTCCGTTAAGCATATGTTTTTCAATGGTCCTCTGGCATGAGATAGTTCCTCCTTGGAAGATATGGGATTCCATTAATTAGACATTGTTTTAGACAAGTGAAGTCATAGTGTTATATTCCTTCATTCTAAGTGCTGCCATCAATAAATTGAGGCCTTGAGTGGAAAGCAAATTTATCTCTATGGAGAGTCAGTAGGCTATCCTGAATGAGGGGGGAAAAACATGCAATAAGTTTAAATGTGAAGAATAACATGTAAAGCAGTTTGATACAAAATTTTATTGAAACATGTTGAGGGGGGCAGACAAGATGTCAGAGTAAAAGCAATGATTTGCTTGAACTCTCTCCCAACCCCTCCAAATACTTGTAAAAAATGCCTCTAAGTAAATTCTAGAGCAACAGAACCCACAAAAAGACAGAGTGAATCAAATTTCTAGCCCAAGACAACCAGGATGGTTGATTGGAAAGGTATATTGCAGCAGACTGGGAAAGGAGCTAAGTTCAGTGTGAGCTGCATCCCCAAAGACAGGGTCTCAGTGAACCTGGAGTAGTGCTCAAGGGATTGAATCAAAGGGAGCTGTGGCAGTTTCCAGACTTCTCATCCCACAAATACCAAAGACAGCTTAGAAGGTCACTAGGAAAAGTCTGTCTGACCACTGTGAGAGAGGAGCTTGGTCAGGCCCCACTAACGATGCAACCCTGGGGCAGCGGCTGTTTCCAGAGATCTCAGCCACAGACTAAGATGGAATCGAGTGTCTGATCAGAGGAGGATTGCAGAGATCTCTTTGCTCATGCTGAAGCAAGATTCTCTTGTGTTGCCCACGCTTGGATCTGTGTCACAGTTCTGGGTAGTGGTCCTTGGGAGAGGAGGAGCACTGGTGTTGTGGAGCTTGTGGTGGCAGTGGAGAGGGAATCCTACTTACAATTCCAAGGTAGAAAAGAATGCTTGTGGTCACTCATAGACCAGAGCACAGGCCAGGAAAAGAGTAAACACCTTGCCATTGATCATACCACCTTGAAAGAACTGAAAATTTACAGGTCCCTAGTAGTATCTCTGAAAACAGCTACACAAAACTCCCAAAGCTTAAGACAGTATATTCTCCACACTGGAAGCTGACCCCTACCTTAACAAAGAGTTTAAAATTCAAATAATTGACTGGGAACATGAGCAAACAGCACAAAAAAAAAATCAGACCATAGGATCTTACTTTGGTGACAAAGAAGATCAAAACATACAACCAGAAGAAAAGAACAAAGTCAAAGCTCCTACATCCAAAGCTTCCAAGAAAAATATGAATCAGTCCCAGACCATGGAAGAGCTCAAAAAGGATTTTGAAAAGCAAGTAAGAGAAATAGAGTAAAAACTGGGAAGAGAAATGAGAATGATGCAAGAAAATAATGAAAAAAACAAATCAACAGCTGAGAAAGGAGACCCAAAAAAACTACTGAAGAAAATAACACTTTAAAAAATAAACTAATCCAAATGGCAAAAGAGGTCCAAAAAGCCAATGAAGAGAAAAATGCCTTAAAAAGCAGAATTAGCCAAATGGAAAAGTAAGTCCAAAAGCACACTGAAGAAAATACTTCCTTAAAAATTAGAATGGAGCAAAAGGAAGCTAATGACTTTATAAGAAACATGATTGAGAAGACCAGTTCAGGTAATAGGGAGGAAAGAAGGGAGAAGGAGATCCTTAATACAATTGAAAAATATGTATCAACATAGGGTAAAACTCACGTAATGGTGGTGATGGGTTGGGAAGCAGAGAGACATGAGTCAAATTAGTGGGGAAAGTTTTTTCTTTGGAAAGTTTTATTACACTCTGGAGTGCATGCTATGTTCCAAAATATCCTTCTAAATATCATATTCCCTGATTTTGGTAGCCATCTACAGCTGGCCAATATGTATACCAAGATTTAAAGCACATTGCGGATTATGAGAGTACACAGTTCCAGAGAGGAAAGAAGAAAAACTGGTGGTTGGCCAGGTATTATTTTGACAAACACTGTTATTTTTGCCTGAAAAATATATATAATTTCCAGTCATGGATGGATTCTGTCAACTACACCATCCCATATGGGGTGACTACCATGATAGTATCAAGATTGGCAGATGTAATCTTTTTTTAATAATTTATTTATTTGTTTTTAATTTTCAGCATTCACTTCCATGAGTTTTAAATTTCTTCCCCCTCCTTCCCTTCTCCCCTTCCCAAGATGGCATGCAATGGGATATAAGCTCTACATATACATTCATATTAAACCTATTTTCTCATTAGTCATGTTATAAAGAAGAATTAGGAGAATGGGAGGAACCATGAGAAAGAAGAAACAAAACAAAACAAAACAAAACAAAAGAGAGAGAGGAAATAGTATCCTTCAATCCGCATTAAGATCCCATAGTACTTTCTCTGGATGTGGAGAGCATTTTCCATCATGAGTTTTGATTTTGGAGTTGTCTTAGATCTTGCATTGCTGAGCAGAGTCAAGTCTATGAAAGTTAATCATTGCACAATGTGACTGTTACTGTGTATAACATTCTCCTATTTCTGCTCACTTCCCTCAGCATCAATTCATTTAAGTCTTTCTGTTTTTTTTTCTAAAGTCCAATTGCTCATCATCTCTTATTGCACAATTGTATCCTATTACATTCATAAACCACAACTTGTTCAACCATTCCTCAATTGATAGGCATCCCCTCAATTTTTAATATTTGGTGACCACAAAAAGAGCTGGTATAGATATTTTTGTACAAGTTGATCCTTTTCCCATTTATATGGTCTCTTTGGGATACAGATCTAGAAGTGGTATTGCAAAATGGTATCCCATTTTGTCATCAGGCCATACAAGTCTTTCCAGGTTTTTCTGAAGTCAGCCTGGTCATCATTTCTTATAGCACAAGAGTATTCCATCACATTCATATACCATAAGTTGCTCAGCCATTCGCCAGTTGATGGGCATCCCCTCAATTTCCAATTCATTGCCACCACAAAAAAAAGCTGCTATAAATATTTTTGTACATGTGGGTCCTTTTCTCAATAATATGATCTCTCTGGGATGTAGCCCTAGAAGTACTATTGCTGTGTCAAAGGGTATGCACATATTTTTTAAAATAAGTTTTTATTGATGTATTTTGTTTTATTGTTTTTTGTTTTGTTTTGTTTTGGTTTGGTTTTTTAGGCAATTGGGGTTAAGTGACTTGCCTAGGGTCACACAGCTAGTAAGTGTGAAGTGTTTGGTCTGAGGCCAGATTTGGACTCAGGTCCTCCTGACTTCAGGGCCAGTGCTCTATCCACTGTGTCACCTCGCTGCCCCGGGTATGCACATTTTTATAGCTGTTTGGTCATAGTTTCAAATTGCTCTCCAAAATGGTTGGATCATTTCACAACTCCACCAACAATGCATTAGTGTTCCAATTTTCACACATCTTCTCCAATATTTATCATTTTCCCATTTTGTCATGTTAGCCAATCTGCTACATGTGGTATGGTACCTCAGAGTTGTTTTGATTTGCATTTCTGTAATCAATAGTGATTTAAAGCATTTTTATATGACTATAGATGGCTTTAATTTCTTCATCTGAGAACTACCTGTTCATATCCTGTGACCATTTATCAATTGGGGAATTACTCTTATTCTTATAAATTTGACACCGTTCTCTATATACTTTAGAAATGATGCCTTTATCAGAGACTGGCTGTAAAAAATATTTCCCAGCTTTCTACTGTCCTAATCTTGGTTACATTGGATTTCTTTGTGTAAAAACTTTTTAATTTGATGTAATGTAATCCAAATCATCCATTTTGCATTTCATAATGTTCTCTATCTCTTGTTTGGTCATAAATTCTTCCCATCTCCATAGATCTGACAGGTAAACTATTCCTTGCTCTCCTAGTTTGCTTGTAGTATCAGCTTTTATATCTAAATCATGTACCTATTTTGACTTTATCTTGGTATAGGATAGAATATGTTGGTCTATGCCTAGTTTCTGCTTCACTATTTTCCAGTTTTCCAAACAGTTTTTGTCAAATAGTGAGTTCTTATCCCAGAAGCGGGAGTATCTGGATTAATCAAATAATACTTTACTGTAGTAATTAATATAGTCATATTTCACTGACCCACCAGTCTATTTCTTAGCTATTACATTACCAGGTAGTTTTGATGATTGCTACTTTGCAATACAATTCAAGATTTGGTACAGCTGGGTCACCTTCCCTTGCATTTTTTTTCAATGATTTCCTTGACATTCTAGACCTGCATAACCCAGCATTCTTTCCATGTTAGCACAAAAATGAAAAAAAAAATCTGGAAATGAAGCTGAGGTCAAAATGGTTTTCTTCAAGAATTTGAACAATTATGATAAAGAAGAAGGAATCAAATTGTTCTATATCACAGAGAAGATGAGGAGGTATGACTGGAAGTCATAGATGGGAAATTTAGGTTGTAATAAGGATAAATTTCTCAACAATAAAAAAAAATCAAAAGGAGATTGGCTGCTCTGTTGGAGAGTGTGGATCTCATGTACATAGTGATTTACTTAATAAAATATAATTTCATTAATGGCAGGAACCATTTGTTTTTTATTCATAAGTGTAGGCCCAGTGCCTAGAATGGTACCTGGCACCAGCATTTTCTAAATGCTTGTTAATTTATTTTCCTAGGAAGGAAACTTAAAATGAAGTTAGACCATTTATCATTGCAGTATACAAAGAAATAGGTTTATAAATATATTTTTGTATTAATCCTCTAATAGTTCCCTTTAATTAAGTGGTCCACTAAACAAGGATTTGTGGAGGTTGACCCCTAAATAAAACACTAATTAACTGAAGATTAGTTTTACTGCATAATAAGATATTTTTTCTCTAAAAGACAAGAGAAAAATCAGGGAAAAATTGTAAGAAATCTAATACATATTTACTTGTTCTAATAATGCAATGGAATCATACACTACATTGTGCCTTAAAGAGAAGGTTTACATGAGGTCAGCCACTATGGCAGCCAGGCAGCCTCCCAGGCCCAGCGCAGCTCAGCCCCCACTGCTTCGCTCTGCTCTGGCCCCGCGGCCCCTCAGCATAAACCAACAGGTTCTGAGGCCTAGTCTGGTCCCCAAGGCACCCCACCACCTTCCCTCTCTGCCCTGCTCTGCAGGACCACAGGCAGTCAGCTGTCTAAAAGGACACGGTGCCTGCAGGCCACCCCAGAGGCCAAACAGCTCCACGATTTTTTAAAGAGCCTCCTCAAGGCACCTTTCACCTCTTTGTTCCTCAAACTGTAGATCAAAGAGTTGAGCATAGGGATGACCAGAGTGTAAAACACAGAGGCCATCTTGTCTGTGTCAAAGGAATGGTTAGACTGGGGCTGCAGGTACATGAAGAGAAGTGTCCCATAGAATATAACCACCCCTGTGAGATGAGAGCCACAGGTGGAGAAGGCTTTGTGCTTGCCCTCAGAAGAGTTCATCCTGAGGATAGACACAAGAATGAACATGTAGGAGACAAGGATAATAAAGAGGGAAGAAACCAAAACAAATACAGAAAGGGTCATAATTATCAGTTCAACCTCACTTGTGTCTGAACATGTAATGGACAGTAGGGGGAGACTCTCACAGTAGAAGTGTCTTATTACATTTGATTTACAGAAAGATGATGTAAAAACCTTTATTGTGACCAATAGGGATACCATGATGCTATAGAGGTATGAGATAGCCACCAAGAGCCAACATACCAGATCTGACATCATGACCATGTAGAGGAGGGGCTTACAGATAGCCACATAGCGGTCATAGGCCATGGCTGAAAGGATAAAAACTTCACTGGTAATAAATACCTGAAAGAAAAATAGCTGTGTTGCACATTCATTATTAGAAATGACATTTTTCTCTTCCATGAATCCAACTAGCATTTTTGGCCCAATAGCTGTGGAATAACCAAAATCAACAAATGCCAGATGCTTCAGGAAAAAGTACATGGGTGTTTGAAGATGGGAATCAATGCTCATTAGGATGATCAGGCCCAGGTTCCCCACAACTGTGGCCATGTAATTGAGAAAAAACAAAAGAAAGAGGGGGCCCTGGAGCTCAGGACTGTTTGTAATGCCCAAGAGAATAAATTCAGTCACCTGATTCCCTGAGGTTTCATTTAGATTGATCATATCTTCCATCCAAGGAGCATAATCTGAGAATAAAAGAAAAAAGCCTTCTTTGAGTACTGCTTACAGATGCAACTAGAAAGTTAGTGGCTAGAAATGTGTTAGGTAAAGATGAGCAGGTCCTGAGGACAAAGTATTTAAGATTACAATCTCCTACCAAGAAAAACTGAGTATAACCCTTCAGGGGAAAAATGGATATTTCGTGAAATAGGGGGCTTTTGAGCATTCTTGACCAAAGACCAGAGCTGAAAGGAAAATTTGACTGTCATGTATAAGACTCAAGAGAAGTATAAAAATGCTAACAGAAAAGGGAAATTATAAAGGATTTAATAAAGTAAAACTATTTACATTCCTACAAGGGAAGATGATACTTGTAACTCATAAGTACTTTCGCATTATTAGGGCAGATGGAAGGAGTATACACAGACTGAGGAGAGAGGTGTGAGTTGAATATGAAGGGTTGATATCTCAAAAAAATAATATTAAGGCGTTAGGGAGGAATGTACTGGGAGAAAGGAAAAGGGAGAGGTGCAATGGGATAAATTATCTCACATAGAAGTGGTAAAATATTTTTCAGTGAAGGGAAAGAAGGTGGAGGTGGGGGGCAATGAGTGAACTTTATTATCACAGAATCATCTCAAGAGGGAATGCCATACACGCTCAATTGGGTATAGAAATCTATCTTAAACTAAAGGAAAGAAGGAGGGGAAGGGACTAAAACAAGGTCAGGGGTGATAGAAGGGAGGACAGATTTGGGGAGGAGATAGACAGAAGCAAAACACTTTTGAGGAGGGACTGGAAGAAAGTTAAACAGGGAGGGGAATGAGATGGGGGAAAATACAATTAATAGAAACAGTGATTTAAAAAACAGTTTGAAGTCAGTTTCTTTGATAAAGGCCTCATTTCTCAAACATGTAGAGAAATGAGTCAAATTTATAAAAAAAAAAACCATTCCCCATTTGATAAATGATCAAAATATATGAACAGTTTTCAGACAAGGTAATCAGAACTATCTAAAGACATATTGAAAATCCTTTAACTCGCTATTGATTGGAGAAATGCAAATCAAAAGTATTCTTAGGTACTCCCTCATTGCTATTAGTTAGAGTAATAGTATAAAAAAGGGGAAATAACAAACGGTGGAGAGGATGTGGGAAAATAAGACATTAATTTACTGTTGTGCAGTCAATTGGTGATTTAACCATTCTGTAAAGCAATTTGAAACTTTGTCTAAAGTCTATAAAACAATCCATACCCTTTAACCTAGCAAGACCATTCTAGTCTGTATCCCAAAAAAGATTAAACAAAAACATAAAAAAAATTTAAAAAAAGAACCTATATGTACAAAAAATTTATAGCAATTCTTTTCTGATAGCAAAGAATTGTAAATTGAGGGGATGCACATCAATTGGGCAATGGCCAAACAAACTGTGGTATGTGATTATGAAGGAATACTGTTGTGCTGTGAGACATGATAAGGCTCTTCCTCTTCCTCCTCTTCCTTTTCCTCTTCTTCCTCTTCCTCCTCTCCACCTCCATCCTCCTCTCCAACTTCACACCCACCCTGGGTTTTACAGTTGCCAGGAGTCCCAGCAGCTGCCTTCTCTGATGCCAATTTCATCTATGGTGCCTGACCTAGAGGTGGTGGGGACAGGGCAACTACGGCAGAAATTAGGGCTTTGGATGACTCTTTTTTTTTCAGGCAATTGGGGTTAAGTGACTTGCCCAGGGTCACACAGCTAGTAAGTGCCAAGCATTTGGTCTGAGGCCAGATTTGAACTCAGGTCCTCCTGACTTCAGGGCCGGTGCTCTATCCACTGAGCCACCTAACTGCCCCGAAATTAGGGCTTTGGGACGGCGTCTAGGTATCTCATATCTTCAGGGTCTCAGTGAAAGTGGGAATGCTTGGGTTCCTCCTGCTCCACCAACCCCAGCTCCACCCGAGGTTGATAGCTTTACCACAGCACCTTCCAAAGAGTGGCAGGGAAGTGGAGGTGAAGTCCCTGCCTCTCAGACTTCCCTTCCCCGGCTGTCTCTTCCTTGCCCTCGATGTGGGAAAAGTTTTATCCATGCTAAATGGCTGCAGACTCATGAGGCACAGTGTAAGGGAGGGACAGGGCACCGGGGAACAGCAGGTGGGCAAGGAGCCCAGAAGGGATCCAAAATTCATCTGCTTCCCCCAGCACGAGTTTTTGAGGGGGTCCAGAGCATATGGTGAAGGTGGTGGGGGGGCCATGTGCTATATGTGTGTGGGGCTTGGAAGGAGGAAGAAGAGGAGGAAGAGGAGACTGAGGCAGGGAGTGAGGACCAACACTGGAGGCCATACTATTCCTATAAACCTAAAGGAAAATTGGTTGGCACTGGTGGGGGGAGTAGCGTGACCAGCACTGGTGGTGGTACCCCGAAGTTCCGCAGCCCTGGCTGGAGATGGGAGTTTGGAAGACGAGCCTGGGAGGAGTCCAGATCCCCTGAGAGCCCCTCTGGACGGGCCAGCAGGGAGTGGAAACATCAATGAGGAGACTGTGGCAAAGCTTGCTCAGACCCGAGGAAGCTGCACAAACACCAGGAAGCCCACGGTGGATGGGGGATGTAGGGTCCCTTGCCTGGCCAGAAGCCTCTGATCCACTTTGCCTGTTTCCATTGTTCAAAGGTGGGTGAGACAGCAGCTGCCCTGAGCGGTGATGGGCACAGGCGCTCTGAGGAGCAGCCAGGGGGTACCCCCACACCTGTTATGGCCTATTCTAAGAGCCTTGGAGGAAGTGGGGCTGGGTCAGGAATGGGGTTAGGTGACAGTGGGGTAAAGGTAGAGGCCCCCCAGGAAATGCAGATGTCATCATCCAGAGGTGAGGCTGGTGGGAGAGGAGGGGTTGGTGGGGGAGGCCCTGAGGCTGCCTCTCTCCAGGATCCTGTTATCTCAGGAGGGGAGGAACCCCTAGAAGTAAGAGGTGGAAACAATCCTCTTGGGAAGAGTTCCCACCTGACCTTGGTTGAAGACAAGCAGGAGGTTTCGGGTGTGGAGAAGGCTGGAGCTGAGGGATTGATTGGGGGGGTTGTGGAGGGCACTGCACCTGCCAAAGTCACTTTCTACCCTGAGCCCTACACACTGGTGTAATACGGTCCTCAACTCCATGCTGCCTACCTTTACAACTTTAGTAAACTGGCTGCACTTCCAGTTGCCCTCAACATGGGCCTTCCTGATGAGAAGAGCTAAAACCCTATTTCTATTCACCTCTCAAATTAGTCCCACCTCTGTCTAAGATTAAATGAAAGACAACTTCCCCTACCCACGTCTAAATGAAAACACAAAACAAAGAGAGTCAGGTAGGGGCCTAAATTCGATGGGTGGAAAGTAATTTGAAAAGAGAAAAAGCTGATTTCTGCTTTAAATGGTAGATTTTCTTCCAGCCACCAGCAACTGGTCAGGGGTCAAGATAACCCTCAGCGAACTCTGCTGCTGAAGTCAAGGTAGTGACTCCTAGAGGCAGGTGGATTTGGAGTATAGGGATTATTCCCACAGATCCCATACTGCTTGTTATTCCCAGACAAGAAAAACAATCAGGGGCGTTGGGGTGGGAGAGATGATCTGCCTTACTAAAGGAGTATCATTCCTCTCTCTCTGTCCTCCCTCTCTCTTTGCACTTTTGTTGGTCTTGGCCAAAACCCAAGAAAAGAGTTTCCTACTGAATGTGCCAAGGCCCAGTGTTTAAAGAAAAAAGTAAAAATACAGGGAAACATTCCCCCCCTGCCCCCCCCAAAAGATATTGTTTCTTGCACTTTAGAGAAAAACTGTGGGAAATACATAATAATAAATAAAGAAATATATATCTTTAAAAAAAAGAAATGATGAGAAGAACGCTGACTGAAAAACCTGGAAAGACTTACATGAGTTGATGCAAAGTGAAATGTACTGTGTACAATATAACAGCAATATTGTGTGATGTTCAGCAGTGAGTGACTTAGTTATTCTCAGCAATACAATGATACAAGACACTTCTGAAGGACTTATGATGAAAAATACTATCCATCCCTAGAGAGAGAACTGATGGTGTCTGAATGAACATTACAGCATACTTTTGTTTTTGCTTACTTTATTTTTCTTGAGTTATTTTTTGCCTATGTTTTGGGTCTATATTTTCAGTACTATTATTGAAATGTTTTGCATGATTACTCATTTATAACTTGTATAAATTACTTGCCTTAACAATGAGGGGGATGGGGAGGAAGGAAAGGAGACAGTTTGGAACTCAAAGTTTTAAAAACAAATATTAAAATTGTTTTTTACATGTAACTGGGGAAAAATAAAATACCAAATAAACAAAAACAATTATTAATGGACATGACATTATAGATAATTGTTTTTTAATTTTCTTTAGTCATTAGGTCTAAAGATCCTAATGAGATACTAATATAGTAGAGAGTATATAAGATCACTTTATAGAGGAATTGTGGTGAAGTAGGTATCAAGTTTGCTTTGCAGGTAAGTAGAGATGAGATAAATAATATATCCAACACATTTCCAAAAATCCTGTTCTGGTCATGTAATCTCCTGGTTGTTAAGTCATCGTCTACTACTATTAGTTGCAAAGTGATGGCCAATGCCGAGAAAGGGAATTTTTTTTTGGGAGTGCCCCAGACTATTAATGGTAGAGGTCAAGGTTCTATTGCAGTGTCTACCTCATCTAGTCATTAGTTATATGACATTCCGGGACACCCCATATAAATCCTGATTCTCTCTAGTCCCACTTCTCTTTGCTTCATCAGAGAGAAAATATTTATCCACCAGCGTTATGAAGGTGAAGTAGGCTAACAATTTTGGTGTGACCCTTGTCATGTATTTTATTTGAAGAGACATGCAAAGACTTTTTTTAAAATGCATCTTATTGTTCAGTGATGTCCAGTTATATAGCATTAATCTCAAAAATCACTCTGATCCCATATTTTTGAATGATCAATATCCCTTGACAAATATTATTTGATTTTTATTTTGGATTGCAGAATAATTTTTTTGATAA